GTAAATGCTGAGTGATCTCCCTGTCCTTATCAACCCCACCAGCCTGTTATTTTTTTCCTCTCCTCTCTCCTGTCCAGTTAAGGAGGGGAGTGATAGAGTGGCTTTGGTGGGCACCTGGCATTTTCGCCAGGGTCAACCCGCCACAACACCGATGAAGACCAAGGTGTTGCAGTTCTTGAGGGATCTTAGAGAAAATAAGACTGAAGAAGGCCCTGAGGATTATCTGGTACCTACTTTGGCATGTCTTTCTTGGAGCATAGTTCACAAGGACTAATATAGCTGTCTTCTTCAACTGATGCAAAAATCTAAGTCACCTATCAAAAATACTGCTTTCATCAGAAAAGTTAGTGGTATGATACTAAGTATGGTGAAAAATATCCAGCCTGAGTAATACAAGTAAAATGTAGACCTGAAATAATGTGAGGTTAGTGTTAACATTATTTCTGATTTCCAGATAAGTCACCAAGAGATTGTGTAATGCTGGTGAAAGTTATCCACAGCTTTTAATAACAGATTATAGGAATGAAATCAGTGAGAGAGCTGTTAACAAGTTGTAAATTCTTAGTATTTATCACAGAAAACTGTTACCACTGAGGTTAAGCCTACTGTATTTTTTTTTCTTGGTAGTTAACTGCATCAGAGAGAATCTAGCATGTTTGAGGATCTTGCTATCGCCTTTACTTACCTGAGACTGCAATTTCCAGATATCTGGAGGAAGACAACATGCCAAGATTGCAGGTGTGGCAAGCCCACCTACTGGTAGGGAAACTGACAATGGGACTGAAGGATTAATATGCCTCTGGCACTCTGCAAATGGGACTTAATAAAGAAAAGGCCAACAGTAGTCCCGGAATAGTGCAGAATAAGCATTAGAGAGCAGAGAGTGCTCTTGAGCTGTCCCACGGTGAAGAAAGGTGCCAGATAACCAGACGAATAGAAAGACCTTGTTTCCCATAACTACCTGGATTTTTTTTAAATATCAAGATTTGGTACTTTTCTTGTCCTTCTCTGTATCTGTTACAACCCTACCCACAGGTCTCTCCATCTTGTCGCCTCCTCTACCTATTTTATACCTTCCTGCACAAAACAGCACCAGAGACACATTGAGGTCAGCTGGCAAAGGTATTCATGCTGCCTGTGACTGTACAGGATTACTCAGTCCGCACAGGCCTGATCACCAATCGTTCTCCTTCTTGCAGGTACCGGTGTCATTGGTGATATGGCAGCGGACTTCACCAAGGAGTTTTGGACAAAAGAGAATAGCATCTCGAAATTCCAACACAACACCCCTCTTCTCAGGGGCAAAGTCCTTTAGGGAGTTGGCACACATAGCAGCTCTGCTCTGATACTTTACTGGAAACAGAACTGTCCATTTCTAAGCACTGAATTTTGATTTGTACCGATTTGTTGCTTGATGTAGATTTTATTTTTTTTTTTAACAAAAAACCCAAAAGCTTAAGCTTATCAACAACAACAAAAAACCATTGCAGGACTGAAGCAGTAATATCTGAGCATCGAGGTAGATGAAAACACCAAATCCCCACCTCTAATAGGCCCTGAGCAAGCTATTTACAGTTTGTCAGAAGAGCAGTGAGAGCACTTGTATTTACAAATACATTTCTCACTGGCATCAAGCTCCTGAGCTACTATAGCTAGAAATTGAACGGAAATAAGATAAATGTGATCTTAGACACTCACTGCCTTCACATGGCTAAAGCCAGGATGTTTTAATAGACTTTTCCTTCAGAAAGCGGACCGTAAAAAGAAATGTATCTTCCTGCCTGCAGAACTCAAGCATTTTGAGCATGGAATGAAATCCAGCCCATTCTTTGCAAATAGATTTTTTAATTTTTTTTTTTTTTTTTTTTAACATGCCAAGCAGATGGACATGATTTAAAACACTAAACCTCCAATCCTAGGACTTGGTAGCTGTCAGAGAATCTCACGTCCCCAACATCAAATACACCTGCACCAACCACAGACTCAAAGTTCACCAGGAGAGCATCTGTGGCATCCTTTTACTTATTCCTGGCCACTGCAAAGCTCTGCAGTGTCCCTGTCAAGCCATCAGATACTGCCCCACACACCCTTTTACCCCATTGCCAGAGCACTACAAGGAAGAAAAGGAGGCAAGCAGCATTCTAGATACCTTCCAACACAGGCAAGAAGCCCCCAAGCCCCACCCCACCTAGGAATAGATGTACTTTTAGCATCAGAGGTGCTTTTTAGAACCACTGAAGTGCTTGGAAGGATAGGAGGAGAAGGACTTCTGGCTTCTACTCTCACTGACACAGAAGGAGAGGCAGGCAACCCAAAAATAGGAAGTATGACGGCTTCTTATGCTCCTCTGTATCAACACTTCCTCCAGTCCCCAGTACACATGTAGTTCAGAGGTATTTCAGGACTTCACCCTCAAGTTCAGATGGGACCCAACAAACACACTGGAGAATAGGACCACAACAGGATGTAGCTCTCCTCAGGTTTGCTACAAGCTGCTCCTGAGCATGCCAGCTATGAACAGAAACATCACACACAAACTCCCTCCTGACAGGCAAAAATCCTACCCAAGCCCTCAAACAAGAGATTCCTCCTACCTGGTCTAAGTTGCAGGTGTGGAAGACTTGGCTACATTTTCTTTATCAGGAGGTTCCTAAGATAGACATGTAAGAAGATGCCTAGATGCAGGGAAAGGGTAAGATAGAGGGAGAAAAGCAGAAGGAGCTAGGGTAGGCACAGACACTACAGTAACTGAACTCCAGTTCAGGTATCCAAAGTCTAAGCTCTTTTATAAAGGATAGCTCAGCAAAGATTTGTTTCTAACAAAAATGCAATGTTTTAATATTGAACATCTTAAAAAAACCACTAAAATACAAACTTTAACCATTGCTTTGAAGAGGGGATTCTGCTTCTAAGCAAAATTAAACTAAACATCCAAGAAATTATGAACAGCACCCCCCAGTTTCCTTAGAATGTTAGCTACTTTTATTGGAGCTCTTAATTCTAGTGCCACATGACTCTGATATGCTCAGCTGACGGAAAAAAATCCCAAACATTTCAGTACAAGTTCACATTGAAGGAATGCCCTTTAAGGCCTCCCGATTTGGCTTAAATGAATATCCTACTGAGTTAACACTAATACAAAATCCTACATTATAAGAACCAGTGTATGATTTTCACAGTCTGTATTCACACACACAGAGTCATACCTGATCCCACAGATCCGGTGCAAGCCCCAAAGTTTCTTTGTCCTAGCAGCTCTTCAAAGGTAAATCATAGTTAACTTTTTTGTGCTTTTGAAGCTCAAAGGCTCTGACACTGCTACTAGCCTGTGTCACTGATAGAAACAAGGAGGTCGAAATGACTAACACTTCTTAAAACTCTCCACTTACTAGCCTTAAAGTCCCCACATGAGTCCTGCAGGAACAGAAAAAAAAAAATAATTTTTCCCCCTGCAGACTTTGCAAGATGGCGCACCTGAAATTCTCAGTGTTCCTCCCCAAACATAAATTATTTACATTAGTCCTACTCCCAATGAACCAACATTAACGGTCAACAACATGTAATAATCCCAAAAGGATATGACAGAACATCTAAAAACAGACTCAAGCGATTTCACCTTTGAACAAAAGGACAAGTGTCCTGTAAACCAGCTCAGCTTTTCCTCATAAACTCCTAGTAAGCAAGGTAGACCAGAACGGCAGTATTTTGCTGGGACAGGGGGTGCATGGGGGAGGAGTTGTTTGTTTGCTTTAAACAAAGGGAAAAAAATATAATTTTTTGGTAGTTTTAGTAGTGATGCTGGCCTAAGAATCAGCAAATGTCACCTAATTCAAAGCCTTCCTGAATGAAGGAAGCTTTTGCAAATGGATGCTAGGAGTAGACGTGCAGTTAAATTGAACACCTTTACATAAGCATGTTGCTTACCTCTCTATAAATCAGACTTAATATGAGTAGATTACAGCATCCCTGATAATTTTATCGTTAGCTTCAGCTCATCAGGAGAGGTCCAATTGCTCAAGAACATATTAAAGACATATCAGGTAGAAAAATATGCTTAAGTTTTGTGCATTACCTTATCTATGGATGGTGCACTTAACTACACCTCTGTGATAAGACCTGTTGAGCTGCCTTGACAAAATACATTACTGGCCAAAATGTCTGCATGCTGACTGAAAGGGCAGTGGATTTGGTCAATTGCTTTCTGCTGATGCCTAAGGCATGCATCTCTCCAAGCCTGAGTGTACGGTCAGAATCTTCACAGGTACTACAATTTCATTATTTTAACACAGAGATCACACATTTGCATGAGAAAACAGTATAAAACAGTAGTCACATTTGTTCACATTGGATACATTCTCAGCACAAAGCTGATCAAGTTCTAGAAGCTTCGGGACATTGAAAGTCTGGGAGCTGAGCGGTAGGCAGAGTTCCAAGAACAGATGACTTGGATAGACCGGCATTTTCACGGAGCAGAGTACTGGGATTAAGAAGGGGAAAAGAAAGAGATGCCGCTGCAGCTGCCTGTTGTCCTAGCAGAAGTCCTAAACTATAGACGTTCGAATTGATGAGATCATTGCCTGGGAGGAGTATATCCAGTTGTTTCTGAATTTCTTGCAGGACCTGCAGTTGACTTTGGTGATTCAGAAGAAGCATATCCATATTTTCCCTCATTTTCTTCACTGTACAAAGAGAAGAGAATGTTAATGCTTGCTATGTAAAAACACTTCACATGGCAATTTAGAAGCCTTTTTATACTTACATTCCTCAAGAACAAGATTCAAGTGATCCCTCTCACATTTCTCTGCACCACACCCTTGCTCTTCTTTATGATGCAAAGATGTAAATTCAGAATGGTTTGCAGCTAAAAGGAAGACAGTGTAAGTCAAGAGCCCACTTTATCACCAATTGCTAGGTCAGCATTTTAAGTATGGTTTCACACAAGGAAAAGGCAGCTCAGTAACAAACCTTCCTCTCACTCACTTAAGCTTAAAACTTCAGTCAAGTCACATGTTGGCCCAAACTAAGCCAAAGCAGAACAAAGACTAGGAAGACATAGCCCCCTGAAACATTACACACTTGGTTTTTATCACAATCAAAATACCTTCCCCTTGCTTCCCCACACCATTGGGTTGGGGGGGGAGGCGGGGGGGAGGGGAGTTGGTGCTGGGGGGACAAAGCAGAGCTGGAGCTAGGGAGCTGTTAAGGAATAGGACAGCTGAGATGTAATGTAAAAACGTACTTAAGTTATAAATATGTAAATCTCTTCTTTGAAATCATATCAGATATAGAAATCAAGTTTTATTCCTAATCCACACATTGCAAGGCCAATGTGGCATATGTTTGATCACAAAAGCAATTTTATTATGGAGCTTCCATTACAATGATGCAGTAGCTATAGTTACTCCAAAGTAAGTTTGCACACTTTCTTTTGAAGCAGGTATAGTATTAGGCTGATCTGATATTAATTATTGGCCAGTTGCCAGGGTAAAAACGAGTTGTTTTTTTTTTTTCTTATGAATTATACACTCTTACATCTGGAAAAAAAGCAAACAAACAAACAGCATTAAAAAGGGGAAAAAAAACCCAAAACATTAGCAGTACAAAATCCCATCTTTAAGGCTCATTAGCAGAGTTACTAGGCCACCTCTCTGCATCTGAATGGTCTCAAACCCTACCTTTGGGATTCAGTTTTGCCATTTCATTGTAACTTCATTATTATTTCCATTGTTAAGAGGAAAGGTTCTCCTGCTCAGAAATTTTTTTCAGAAGGGAAAACAAAATAAAACAAATTAAAAACCCCAAACAAACAAACACCACCAAAAAAACCACAAAAAAACCCAACAGAAAAACCTCACACACAAAACACTTTTTTCACATGGCCAGGCTCATGTCTTAATTGCCCTGCTGTTACACGATCTGGTGGCCAAGACCCCAACCCCCAGAACAATTCTATGGCTGGGTAGGCAAGACGCAAGATTAAGAATGAAAATATTTTTCACCAAGTATAAAGGGACGGCCCATGTAAAGGTACAACAACAGAAAAAACCCAGTGAAGCTTTTGACCAGAGTTTCTGGTCACTACAAGAACATGGAATATTGCAAAATCCATAAAACTCCCTACTTTAAACAATCACCCTGCTCAACAGCCTATGCTATGCTAAGAGTATTATGGAGGGATGGCCAGCAGAGATGTCCCACTGCAAACAATGAAAAGGTGCTCTAATCATAGAATTATACATGTAACAAAAAATAGGTGCTAGAGATTACCAAGGCCTTGATGCACAGTCTAAATCTCTTCCACTTCCCTAAATTTAGTATTTTGTGGACTGGGCACTTCTGAAGATCTAGGGCTAGACATCAGGCAACACTGAAGCAGGAATTAGTGGGATCTGAGAGCTCTGCAGTCTAAGGTCCCAGGCAGCCCTCATGGCAAAGTATAAATTTCAACTCTGGCATTTTCAAAGCACATTTTCAAATCACAGAGATAAATACATCATAGAATAGTTTAGGTTGGAAACGACCCTTAAGATCATCAAGTCCAACCATTAGCCTGGTACTGCCAACTCCACCACTAAATCATGTCACTAAGCACCACATCCACACGTCTTTTAAATACCTCCAGGGACGGTGACTCAACCACTGCCCTGGGCAGCCTGTTCCAGTGCTTAAAAACCCTAATTCTTCCTAATGCCCAATCTAAACCTCCCCTGGCACAACTTGAGGCTATTTCCTCTCATCCTATCACTTGTTACCTAGGAGAAGAGACCAACACCCACCTCACTACAACCTCCTTTCAGATAGCTGTAAAGAGCAATAAGGTCTCCCCCCTCAGCCTTCTTTTCTCCAGATTAAAGAATCCCAGTTCCCTCAGTCACTCCTCACAGGACTTGTTCTCTAGACCCTTCACCAGCTCTGTTGCCCTTCTTTGGACACACTCCAGCACCTCAATGTCTTTCTTGTAGTGAGGGGCCCAAAACTGCACACAGTATTCGAGGCATAGCCTCACCAGTGCTGAGTGCAGGGGGAAAATCACTTCCCTACTCCTGCTGGACACACTATTTCTGATACAAGTGAGGATGCTGTTTGCCTTCTTGGCCACATAGGGAGGAAAAACAACAAACGAACAAAAAAAGTCCATACATATCCACAGAAAGGAGTGGGAAGTGTTTAGGAAAAACTGGAGACCACAGTATCTCATATATCCCTTGTAAGTCTGTACAGCTTGAAATAAAACTCAACAGATTTTAATTCAGTTACCTGCTGTGTCTTCACTGAGTCTCTGTCTCGAATGAATCTGTCGATGTTTGATGAAGTTTGAGCACAGCCGGAAGCTATTTCCACACTCGGTACATCTATAGGGCTTCTCATCCATATGCACTCTCTGATGGTAGAAGAGAGCTGCACTTTCACTGAAGCTCTTCTTGCACGCGGTGCAGGAAACAGTTTTGTTTTTCAAATGGATCTTAAGGTGAGCAAGAAGGTTTGAGGTACGGCTAAAGGTTTTCTCACATTCCTTACACTTGTAGGGCCTCTCCCCTGTATGGACTCTCTGGTGCACCACCAGGTTGGCCTTCCTGCTAAAGCTCTTCCCACATTCTACACACTCAAACGTTTTTTCTCTCCTGTGGGTTTGCAGGTGGTTCAGGAGTCTGGTGTGCCCCTTAAAGCCCTTCCCGCATTCTGCACACTCGTAGGGCTTCTCTCCTGTGTGCTGTTTCTGGCCATCAGCTACAAGGGCGAGTTTCATGGAGCCTCTCTTTTGGTGCGGGGTTTTATTGCAGGTTGCCCTCTGCTGCCTTTGCAGACTGGCTGCTCCCCTGTTTGGGCTCCGGGCTTCAGGTAGTGGAGGCAGTACATTTTGCTTAGTGTCCTTGGGGGTGCCTCTCTCTTCCTCATCGTCAGTCAAAATGCAGTCCCCTGATGGAGTAAGAGAGCAATCTGACACTTCTCCTTCCCTAAGACAAATAAGCTGCTCCTTGTAAAATAACTGAATTTCTCAAGCCTAGCATCAACTTGCACCAGATTCCCCTTTATCCAAAGAAGAAAGAAAATGATGAAGACTGAGACAAGAAGACAAGGAAAAGAAAAAGCGGCACAGGGAAGAAAAGAGTTAAGAAACCTACCTCTTCTCTTCCTTCCCCTCCCCATTTCCTTGTTCTTCCTCCCCTCAGTGAATGGCAAAGACGACTACCAAAATGAAGGAAAAGGAACATGCTGAAATGGCTTACCTGTCAAAAATACCTACTTTTAGCTATTTGCTCCTGCAGACTTTGCTCAAAAGCCTTCCAGCCTGCTAAAATAGTATTAAAACTCTGTTTTAAAGCTGTGTGTTTGTGTGCATATGGTTCAACACACACACACAAAAGTCCCCTTAAACTTCATTAGGCAAAATCAACAGGGACATTTAGGTTGTTTCTCAGTTGTGTTAGTTAATATTTACTGAAAAAATTTACATTACATCTTTTCCAGCACGTCAGGGTTTTTTCCTAATTACCACAAGAGCAGTTGTAATTATTATAAGGATACTGCATATTCATGCATCAGAAGTCAGAGGAGTTAAATCTTTATTGATAAAAAAATTTAACTAATTGCCAATTAACTATGCTAGAACTAGATATGAAAGAGTAATGACACCTACTTTTCTTGTGGTGACAAGCTAAAAAAGTTGCATTCCAAGGAAACTCACAGGAAACATTCAAATATGGCCCTTTCT